CCGGGTCTAGGTCTTACCGTGCCACCTACGGTAATAGCTACTTCCCTATAGGGAAATTCGCTAAAACAAAAGAGTGTACTCTATACAATATTGTTTAAATTTTATATCAAAATTCATAAATATCATATACATCAAAAATATAATCCAGGCTTAAATCAAACAGATTAACCCTTAGTGCCCATTGACCAAATCTGTGGGCACAGTATTATAAAACATCAATATCTGTATAAATATAAATTATGTTATATATAAAATATATCTAACCCATAGATGGGGTTTTAGGAACAAATTGAGTAATTTTTGTCCGATTTGGATGAAGTTTGGTTTAAAGGTGTAAAGCGGGTTTAACTTGAATGAGTTCCAGCATAACCAGCATAATCGGACCATGGGAACGAGGCTTTACGGGGGTTTTGCGGGGTAAAAATGGTTTTTTCTCACTTTTGGCCCTCAAAACGCAAAATATTCCAATTTATCTTTAGACCTTTGTAAAGAGCTTAAAAAACAATTAATTTAGTATATAAAAGTGTTTTTGTTCGGTTATTGGTAATGGAGAAAATTTAAAAAATTGTAAATTTAAAATTCCTATGTTATTCTTATGGAGAATATTATAAAATGTTGTAGTTTGCTTGTTTATCGATATATTTTGATCAAACTTGGCAAATTTATTTATTTTATACTAAGCTATCAATATTTTACTAAAAAAACACACTTAATTAGTTTCCTTGTAGCAGCAAACCTAGGTACTCGTTAAAGCTAATGTTATTAAAATATATTTAATTGAAAATGAATTGAGACAAATGGAAATTCGCTTAGTTGGTAGGTTTGCTGCGGTGGGGGTATTTAAATCTTGTACTTAATTTTATTGTCTCTAATTTTAAAACGAAAGTAAAAGTTTAATAGCACTCAATAGCGCTATTACCTTTCGGTCCTCTTATAAATTCCATCGGGGTAATAACGACTCACTGTGTACCACTACATTGTTATGGAAAATTTTGAGCAGTGTTTTTGTATTAAAATATAAGTAATATATACCGTTAGAAAGGTAATATTCTGACAAACAAGTGTATGTAAGACGTTTTCAGCTACGTGTAACACGATCCACGACACTTAGCAAAATGATTAAAAAAAATCTAAATCAAAAACAAAATATTTAATACAAATATAAATATTCGTAGTATTATGAATGTAAACAATGAAGTAAAGTACACCATCGGAAAGGTAATTTTTTCGTGATTAATAATCACTAAAAATGTAGGGCATTATTAGAATATGAACCCGAGTTATATAGGGAAATGTAGAATCATGTCACACAACTTTGGCGGCCATGTTGATTACGTCATCAACACCCATAGAGTGCCCGAAAAATTTGTGTCTCGGACTTTTTGGACTCGTCTACGCATGTACTATCTGAATCCAAAGGGGCGCGTTGGTTGCCAGATGTGAAATATTATGGTGTAATTTGTTGCTAACCCACCCCACTATACATTTTGTAGCAAATAATGCTCAACGGTTATCAATCCGATTGTTCCTTCCCTTTTGTTCTCTATTTTGCAATGTGCTAGTTTAGATGATTTATTTGTAAACACATGTTACAACCTTTTTATTGTTATCTTGCAAATACTGTCATGGCAACCAATTAACCCATAAGGCCCATGTTAAATTTCTAAAAGTTTAAATTCATATAGGGAAAAGCCCTGTTGTCCGATTTGTACCATTTCAGATTTATACCTTCCCGTGGTTGGTTACTATGACTGTGTTAAATTTCATGCAGATCGCTTCAGCCGTTCAGGAGGAGTATTTGTAAAACAAAAGCAGGAGTGTAGTATAAGAGCTTCGCTCGCTCCGCTCAACAAAAGACTTGTAATTTGCCTATCCACAGTATACTAGCAAAACAAAATACAGTACAAAAGGAAAAACATCAGTTGTTACTATTGAGCAAAGATTATACTGAAGATTACTCGATTCTATAGTCAAGGGTAGCAGTGTGGAGTGTGGGATTTGTTTATGACGATTAGATTACGGTATCTGCAATCCTTAAATGCTATGGAAAGGGAGGAAATAGGTCCACGACATAGGAAGTGGTGAAGGAAGTAGTAAAGGCGAGCAGTCTGGAGTGTGGAAACTGTTTTTAAGGTAATCTGCAATCCTAAAATGTAATGGGAAGGGAGGAAAACAGGTCCATGACGTAGGAAATGAGGAAGGAAGTTGTAAGGCTAGCAGTGCATAGTGTGGGAACCGTCTGCGGCATTTATGTATCTGCAATTCTAAAATAGTATAAGGAAGGAGGGCAAACAGGTCTACGACAAAGGGAGTGGTGAAGGAAGTAGTAAGGGTGAGCAGTCCGGAGTGTGGGAATTGTTAATAACGATTAGATCAAGTTATCTACAATCCTAAAATGCTATGGGAAGGGAGGGAATTAGGTCCGCGACGTAGGAAGTGGTGAAGGAAGTAGTAAAGGCGAGCAGTCTGGAGTGTGGAAACTGTTTATGACGATTAGATTAAGGAATCTACAATCCTAAAATGCTATGGGAATGGAGGGAAACATGTCCATGACGTAGGAAGTGGTGAAGGAAGTAGTAAAGGCGAGCAGTCTGGAGTGTGAAAACTGTTTATGACGATTAGATTAAGGAATCTGCAATCCTAAAATGCTATGGGAAGGGAGGGAAACAGGTTCACGACGTAGGAAGTGGTGAAGGAAGTAGTAAAGGTGAGCAGTCCGGAGTGTGGGAACTGTTAATAAAGATTAGATCAAGTTATCTACAATCCTAAAATGCTTTGGGAAGGGAGGGAATCAGGTCCGCGACGTAGGAAGTGGTGAAGGAAGTAGTAAAGGCGAGCAGTCTGGAGTGTGAAAACTGTTTATGACGATTAGATTAAGGAATCTGCAATCCTAAAATGCTATGGGAAGGGAGGGAAACAGGTTCACGACGTAGGAAGTGGTGAAGGAAGTAGTAAAGGTGAGCAGTCCGGAGTGTGGGAAATGTTTATGACGATTAGATTAAGGTATCTACAATCCTAAAATGCTATGGGAATGGAGGGAAACAGGTCTGCGACGTAGGAAGAAGTGAAGGAAGTAGTAAAGGCAAGCAGCCCGGACTGTTGGAACTGTTAATGACGATTAGATTAGTGTATCTGCAATCCTAAAATGCCATTGGAAGGGAGAGAAACAGGTCCGCGACGTAGGAAGTGGTGAAGGAAGTAGTAAAGGTGAGCAGTCTGGATTCTGGGAACTGTTTATGGGAATTACATTAAGGTATCTACAATCCTAAAATGCTACGATAAGGGAGGAAAACAGGTCCATGACGTAGGAAATGGTGTAGGAAGTAGTAATGCTAGCAGTGCAGAGTGTGGGAACTGTCTGTGGCATTTATGTATCTGCAATTCTAAAATGGTATAGGGAAGGAGGGAAAACAGGTCTAGTAAAGGCGAGCAGTCTGGAGTGTGGAAACTGTTTATGACGATTAGATTTAGGAATTCACAATCCTAAAATCCTATGGGAAGGGATGGAAAGAGGTCTGCGACATAGGAAGTGGTGAAGGAAGTAGTAAAGGTGAGCAGTCCGGAGTGTGGGAAATGTTTATGACGATTAGATTAAGGTATCTACAATCCTAAAATGCTACGAGAAGAGAGGAAAACAGGTCCATGACGTAGGAAATGGTGTAGGAAGTAGTAATGCTAGCAGTGCAGAGTGTGGGAACTGTCTGTGGCATTTATGTAGCCTATCTGCAATTCTAAAATGGTATAGGGAAGGAGGGAAAACAGGTCCACGACGTAGGGAGTGGTGAAGTAAGTAGTGAAGGTTAGCAGTGTGGAGATTGGGAGTGGATTAATGTATCTGCAATACTTTTCAGAGTAAACTAATAATTTCCCCCGAGCAAAGCTCGATCCCCAAGTACTTTATATAGATTATAGCAGATTTTGCATTCTCTAATCTTATATCTTTTTATTGTGTTATATGTTAGTAAATGTCTTTTCAGGGATCTGATTGTAACATGTCTTGAACTTTTTCTCTTAGGTAGGATATGGCATAAATTCTTTTTCAGAGGATTTATGTTATGAGGCTTACATACAGAGCTTGACAAAGGTTGCATTGGTGTAGGTAGATTATGTTTTCATTATAGCAGATTATATGTTCTTAAATCTTAGATTTATTTTTTGTAGTATAGCCTATGTTAGTAAAAATTCTTTCCAGATGTGTGAAATGAACTTGTTGTGTTGGCTAGGATAAGGTCCAGGGGGTTTTCTTGTGGGTGGTTGGATCTGGTATTTTTGGATGGAACAGGATATTTTTGAAGTTTTGTTAGTTGTCCAGCAAAAGGGGGTTTATCAAATAGGGCTTTGGTACTGTTGTTTCATTGCAGTATTTTGTAGCAAGTTTTAAAGAGATTGTTAAGTTTTTAAAACCTATATGGTCAGGGAAGTCGGTTATATTTGTGATGGTTCATTTTTATCTTAACTTATTCACGACTTACGAGTGTAGCTCCTAACCACATTTCACAGCAGGATAGTCGTACTGTTAACCCATTGGCCCTCAAGAAGAAAGTTGGATCATACCTAAGAGCGATGAATGTGGTCATGTGCTTATAGTGGCAATCGACCCTAAGTGCAAGACAATCTGATCTATCCAATAGGAGAGCCACAATAAAACATATTGTGCTCTTGTGATTCAGGTTGAAGTTCTACAAGAAATAAACAAGAAAGTACCAAAACTGTCAAGAGTCGCTTCCTTACATGCAAACAGGAATCAAGTTGGGTCAAGACCCAGATACTCCAACGCAAAATGCTATGAACCACGAAGAAAAGAAGCACTACGATAATAGAGAACCATCATTGTGCTGATAGTTCGAGAACGTCTCTGCACAAAAACAACTAGCCACACAAGCTGTGCGGTCTTGCGCTTTGTGCCAGGCGAGTCTCCCTACCTTGCAAAACCGCATAGACAACGTCTGACAGAGAAATCAATTATACTTTCTCGCAAACAAAAATATAGGATCTCCTACCTTACTGAAGTAGCCGACAGTATGACATCCGTCCGAGTCTGCTATTGTCATGACGTAGAAGAGGAACGGTTCCACATCGTAATACAGTGTCTTGTGGTCCAGGAAGAACTTGGCGAGGAGACACAAGTTTTGACAGTACGATTTGTACCGTTTGCCATCCACCTCCCAAACGGACACTTTCTCTTTTCTGAAACAAAAGCATGTTTTGTTTTTAAATTGATCTATTTGATTACAGGATTCTCAAATTATTTCATGTAAAATATAGAAATCAAAAACATTTGATCACCAACCACCTTGACTTAATGGCAGTCCATTAAAACATTTAATTAGGAAAATACTTAATGGTGGTTAGAAAAAGGGGTTATTCGTTGAGGCTTAATAATTCATTTATGGTTACTTTCACCCCAGTCCTAGTTGTTCTTTACTACTAGTAAAGATCTGTCTTAGCAGTTCTGGGGCAAGCACTAACAATGAGTTAAAAATTAAGTATAATGTCTTACAGTCACCATCAGTACAATTAAAATTCATTATGATGCCCCTGAACTGTTTGGTTAGACTGATATAGGTGTTCAACAAGTGACACTTGTTGTCCGGTATCATGGGTCAGGAATAAACTTCTGCCACATCCTTGCATGTGTCCTATAGTTATTTTATCGTGGCCATGTTGCTTTTAATGTTTTAACATGTTTGTGTGTATGTGTTCCTGGTTTTATTCTCAATGAATCTTCACATAATTCCTCTTGAAGAGAATGCAAAATTTCTTTGTGAAAATTAAGCCACCAAGAAATTTTCAAACCATGTGAGTTTAACTAGCGAATAAGAATCACTTTCCGTTAAACAAGACTTTGTTTTGCTAACAATTTCCCTATATTCAAATGTTACGTTGTTTTTATTGTTCAAAGAAACAAGTAGGTGTCGCCCAAAAAGATAAGGAAATTATATTTTTGTCACTAACCAATGTAAAGGCTACTCAAGGAATAAGGATAATTTCAGGGCTGTGCGAATCTAGAAATTTTGGTTCGAATCCGAATCATAGCTGTAGATTTGATCAAATACGGATCAAATCTGAATATTTTAACTAGCCCAGAGTCGAATCTGGGTCAAATCCGAATCTCAAATTTACAGCCGTTATCAAACCCGGATCGAATCCGAATCTCAAATTTAAATAGCTCTGTAGCTATTATCTGTAGCTGTTATCTAATCCGAATATTTAAACCTGTTCAGAGTCGAATCCGAATCCGAGGAAAGTCAGCAGTATTTATTTACCAATTTTTACATATTTAGACCACATTTTCTGGGGCTGAAATAACTTAGGGAATTGCTTCAAAAAATTCTTGAAATGGGCCAAATAAAAAAGTTATAAAATTTAGGCCTACCTATTTGAAGTTTTGAAACTAAAAAAATTGGGCATAAGTTAGACCTACCACCTAGGCCTAAGTTACTCGCTAAAAGTGATGGACTACAAATTTCTGTAGTCTAAAACATAGGCCTAGCCCATACACTACAGTGTTATTCCTCCACATAAGCCTATGTCTGTATTACTAAATTACAAGTAACAACTCACACTTTGAGGTTAAGTTTACTGATAGCCAAGATAGGGTTCAATTGCGACCTACACTAATGTGCCTAAAGCCTAACACCAAGTTATAATTTACTATGGTCAGGTTCCTAACATGAACCAGTCAACAGCAAATCAGAGTACACAAGTAGTTTTTTAGTGTCTAAAAACTTATATTGAATCAGAATCTAGTAAATTTGAATATCGAATCCCAACTCGGATGTATTTCCAAGAAATTCAAATATTGAATCCGAATCCTGATCTCTTACCGGTAAATTTGAATATCGATTCCGAATCCGAATCCAGTTACAAATAGTAGATTCGTTCTCTAACCCAAATCGAATCTCTTAAAAGATTCGGATTCGATTAGTTTTTCAAACTATTCGCACAGCCCTGGATAATTTAAAAATAAATAAATAATGTTTTAAAAGGCTAAACAACCTTAACAACTATTGTAAGAACATCAAGACACTAACCTATACACCTCCTCGCCTGGCGGATGTCTCCACACACACTTGTTGGCATGTCTGTCCAGTGTTACTCTGCTCTTCATGTAGCGAAGACAATACTCGCATAGGTACAGCTTGGGTAGCCTAGCGTAGTCATCAGGGTACGGACTCTGATACCACACCTCCATCTCAAACCTGCCCATCTCTATACACTTGGTGCCCTTCACGTTGGGCAGCCCCTTCAGGTCTTCCTCCTGTAAAATGTCACATACTTCACATAGCGAAGACAATACTCGCACAGGTACAGCTTGGGTAGCCTAGCGTAGTCATCAGGGTACGGACTCTGATACCACACCTCCATCTCAAACCTGCCCATCTCTATGCACTTGGTGCCATTCACGTTGGGCAGCCCCTTCAGGTCTTCCTCCTGTAAAATGTCACATACTTCATATAGCGAAGACAATACTTGCACAGGTACAGCTTGGGTAGCCTAGCGTAGTCATCAGGGTACGGACTCTGATACCACACCTCCATCTCAAACCTGCCCATCTCTATACACTTGGTGCCCTTCACGTTGGGCAGCCCCTTCAGGTCTTCCTCCTGTAAAATGTCACATACTTCATGTAGCACAGACAGTACTCGCACAGGTACAACTTGGGTATCTCAAACCTGCCCATCTCTATACACTTGGTGCCCTTCACGTTGGGCAGCCCCTTCAGGTCTTCCTCCTGTAAAATGTCACATACTTCATGTAGCACAGACAGTACTCGCACAGGTACAACTTGGGTATCTCAAACCTGCCCATCTCTATACACTTGGTGCCCTTCACGTTGGGCAGCCCCTTCAGGTCTTCCTCCTGTAAAATCACACATACTTCATGTAGCAAAGACAGTACTCGCACAGGTACAACTTGGGTATCTCAAACCTGCCCATCTCTATACACTTGGTGCCCTTCACGTTGGGCAGCCCTTTCAGGTCTTCCTCCTGTAAAATCACACATACTTCATGTAGCAAAGTTAGTACTCGCACAGGTACAGCTTGGGTATCTCAAACCTGCCCATCTCTATACACTTGGTGCCCTTCACGTTGGGCAGCCCCTTCAGGTCTTCCTCCTGTAAAATGTCACATACTTCATGTAGCAAAGACAGTACTCGCACAGGTACAACTTGGGTATCTCAAACCTGCCCATCTCTATACACTTGGTGCCCTTCACGTTGGGCAGCCCTTTCAGGTCTTCCTCCTGTAAAATCACACATACTTCATGTAGCAAAGTTAGTACTCGCACAGGTACAACTTGGGTAGTCTAGCATAGTCATCAGGGTACTAACTCTGATACCACACCTCCATCTCAAACCTGCCCATCTCTATACACTTTTAGTGCCCTTCACGTTGGGCAGCCCCTTCAGGTCTTCCTCCTGTAAAATGTCACATACTTCACATAGCAAAGACAATACTTGCACAGGTACAGCTTGGGTAGCCTAGCGTAGTATTCAGGGTACTGACTCTGATACCACACCTCCATCTCAATCCTGCCCATATCTATACACTTGGAGCCCTTCACGTTGGGCAGCCCCTTTATATCCTGTAAAATGTCGCATACTTACAAAAGTGACTTTGAATACAGCTATACTCCATTCAATATCACTGTGCAGTACAGAGTGTCCATAAGCCATGTACAGTAGGACTACAGTCTACAACTGTCCTAATTTCGACCGTACCACATTCAAATAATCAAAAACATAGCCTCATTGAATTTTTTAGAGAAATTCAGGGTATATTTTTAGGCTGAGGTGAGCCGAGTTTATACAATTTCACAATCATAAAACGTGTCTCAAAGATTTAATGATAGAAAAATTCACGCTTTTGCCTTTACCACGGAAAATGATGAAAATGTTTCCGTAATCAAGAGAACAGATCATGAAGTTTCTGTGAGCGTGGGATATGATGATTAAAAGTCTACCTGAAAGCAGGAGATATTCAAGATTTTGCCACGACCACATGCTTCTGTCTTCTTTAATAACAATTCTTATATTATTAGGGTGTACAGGGGTAAAAGGGATCAGAAAATCATATAATTCAACTTTAGGCCTCTATAACATCTGAGTGAATACTTCAATAACTTTCAAATTTTAATCAAGTATTAATAAGCTCTTTCTTCATACATAGTATTTTTTCTGATTATTAAAATAAATTCTAACATACAGAAAAAAACACAAAAAGAACTCTGTCCTTGATTCCAATTGACCCACACACTTGGGGTAATTGGGATCACAGCTCCTACTACCCATATAATGCAATGTAATCAGATATTGAACAATTAAAATTTTTATTTTATCTTGAATAGTTTTTGAATTATGAACTTTTTTGTACAATCTGTCGGGACTTCCTAAATTTGATTTTTTTTTGTAGATAGTGTAAATACCTAACTAAAATAAAATAGGCCTATTAGCATTTATACATAACTTTAGCTTAAATAAGTGGTTTCCACATAAAAATGAACGTTTTTCAGTCTTTTTTTGGCTAATTGATATTTTTAGGCATTGATTTAGGCATTGAATCACGGTAATTCCAATTGCCCCAACACCCGTGATCCCAATTACCCCATAATGCAATATTCATGGGGTAAAAGGGATCACAGCTGTAACATTTTCTTCTTAAGTCCTAGAGCAATTTCCAAATTTAGATTCTCGGTAAAAAGTTCATAAAAACTCCATTTCTCATTAAACTTTTAAAAAACTGGCAGTAATCTAGAACAAAAAGAAAAAAATTACCGATCAATTTGATAAAAAAGTTGATTTACAGGCCAAATTTCAAAAATTCTTAAAAAATATAAATAAATTTTTTACATTCCAAACAATTATATATATAGAAAGAGAATGTTTTAAGCTTTCTAAAATCACTTGGTTTTAATTTTTTTTCTAAAAAATTTTATTTTTACATCCCCTGATCCCAATTACCCCTGTACACCCTACTGTAGTTGTAGGTTTTTAAAATACTTTCTGTAAGCGATTCTGTTGGCGTTTCAGATTGTTAGAGTTCTACCGTTTTCAAATGGAGGGTTTCAATGATAATAGCTACTTTTAATACATCAACAACGCAACATGCTTATTAACTTTTTTTCTTATACGTTTTACTACTAACTGTAGCTATACCAAAGATATCCAAATCAATAGGTCAAAATAACAATCTATCTTGATAAAAAATAATAACAGGACAGAAATAAGTCAAATATACTGTAGCCACTAGGGTCACGAGCGAAGTTGACGCAACTTACATCACATAACCATAAACATTATGGTTCCGGTACTGATGATAGCAAAACTATCTCCCACAAGACCTCAACTGGACAGTGATCCGGGAATTGGGTATACTTCACTTCTCACCCAACTGTAAAATCAAAATCTAAAGCTGTTTTGATCTGGGTTCGATGTCTGATTACCCTAGGATGTTTTCATGTTGTGTTATTTCTGTGTGTGCAAATTATTTGACAAAATTATAAGACAGATTTTTTATGCCCCTTTGAGGTATGATTATGTGAACAGCTGTGACTGTGAAAAATGTATACGTGCATATAACAGCTCTGGTGGCCAATCACACTCACAATAGTTTCTGAGGCGAGTGCCTGTGCCTCCTGGAACAGTCTGAGGTCGTACTTGGGTGCACACTTGTTGAGGTTCGGCTCTCTCTCTTTGATGCTGGCGATGGTCGGGTCACTGCTGGAGCTGTCCTCATTGTCACTCTCTACCGTCTTACTGCGCAACTCCTTCACCAGGTCCCGGTAAGCTTTCTGGTCTGGCGTCGGATTGTTGGCGTGACTCGACTTGAGCAAACTTGCAGCCTTCTTACGCTCCTCGTCTCGCTTCGTATGCTCCTGGTAAGCATCCTACAACATTTGTAAAGTTAAGAGAAGAAATTAAAGGGAAACAGATATAGGATAAATAATAGCACTTACCTCTAAATTAAAGTAAATATTGTAAAAAAAAAAAAAAAAAACAACTAGGAGGCTGAAAGTGGTGCTTAAGTTTTACCAAATTTTTTAAAATTTTCAATTCTTAGTATTTTCACCAGACTTGAGTTGCAAGACATTTAAGCCCACTTCTGGTCTTCAAAGTATTCTTCCAGCATAAGTCCGGTAATAATAGACAAGGTCTTGTTTAGCAAAATAACAACTTCTGCCAGACTTAAGGTAGTGTAACAAAAGTACAGGAATAACATGGCATCCACAAGAGGAAAGCTTGATTTATGTTTTTTGTAGCTTTCACGAGCCTACTGCATAGATGTTGGTGGTCGTTTCTTCCCAATTCAAACCTTCCTTGGTCCTAAACACTGTCAGTGACAAGTTATTTATTGTAATTTTTGCTACAGTGTAAAGTGCCAAGGTGAGCTCTTTTATTTTCAGTCAAGCCTGCTATCCCACCAAAACGTGATAAGTGAACTATTTAGAATTACCCTGGTACCGCAAATCTCCACAGAATAATAAAGTCAATCATTGAGTAAAGCCTATGTTTCTCACTAAAAGTGATTGGAAAGTACAAGAATTGCTTAACCAGTTTTTTAAAGTTTCCTTTTGTTGCTTATCAAATCCTTGTATATTCCAAAATCTAGAGCTACTTTATCAGACATTTTAAAAACCTATGTGACTGCGATTACAGCAACATTGATAACAGCAACATTGGTGCAAAGCAGTCAACATTGATAAAAAAACACCACTATTTTTTATAAAATAGACCACTATCATTCAAATACTGACAAAAGTGAGTTAAACCATGTAACCAGTTTTAATGACGGATGTAGTTCAATTGAGCCTCTAACATAGTTGAACCTTTTAAATCAAGCAAAATTAACAGGTTGCCTGCCAATGGTTTCGCACATCTGTAAGAGGTACTTGTGTCACCTGAAGTTAATGTGGTAATAGTACAATCTAATGCGAACAATAGCATCTTAAACATCACATGAAATATTAGTACCAAATACTAAAGGAGAAAAACGGATATTTAAAACAGCATTCTGTGTGTGGCTTATTCAACTATGTTCCATTTAAACACAAAGATGGTCTATAAAGATGGGACATCTTTTCAGTAGTCAATGCTATGTAAACAACTCCAAAATACCTTGCACTGTTGAGAAGTCTTGTTGTGGTACAAAGGACACGCCTCAAGTGTGAAGTGCCGAGCCAGTTTGCCGCTCAGATGCCCGAGAGAGTCGCACTGATCGAGCGGACAACGTCGCTCCTCCTCCACCATCTCTCTCCCCCCACCACTCTCCGATGACCCCGGACTAGTTTTCGGTTTCCTCTGAGAAGCTGGACCTTTAGGCCCTGCCTTCTTCACTGGGGACTTGGTCATACTCGTCTTGCTCTCTGAAAACAAAAGTGGACCAGTCAGATTGTTTACAAACATTAATAGACCAATTTGGATTGTAAAGAGAAATTTCTTTAGAAGGCCGATTAAAAGCGGTAGACTCGATCTAATTGTTGGACTTTGTTTGGACAGGCCCATGCATATGCCCATATGACAATATGACTCACACAGGTTTGTTCTTAGCCACATAAACAATGAAATCACAGAATCATATTATCAGGACCAAATATCAATGCTAAGTTTGGTGTTCTTTTATTGTGTATCCATTAGCTCCTGAAATGTAATTTTCTCAGACAAGCTACCGGAATTTAAGTCCTTTAAAAAAAGTCCTTACTAGCCAATATGCTTTCCATTAAAATACCATCATTGGAGGAATGTAATGATACAATGCCAACCTAATCATTGAAATGGTTTTAATTTAAATTAAAGGACAAGCTCCTACAACTCCACTGAAAAATGTATGGTGAACCTTGCTAAAATTGTAATGTCATGAATGTGTTTTTACTCAATGTTATATCACAGAAGCAAGACAGTCCCACACGAACCTTGACGTATGAGTTTAGTGCTTTTAAGGTAGCTTGACTATCAGTATAGATGTTATTTGTTTTGTCTCTAACCTCTTTATTAAGATTTTCTCGAGCACAAACCAAGATAGCAGTGACCTCAACTTGAAAAACTGTTGGGTACACTCCCAACGGGGGAAGACTAACGCCAGTGCCGTCTTATTCCCAAAGCCACCCGCTCTGGAGCCCCCTTGTTTGATCTTAGAACCATCAGTATAGCATTCTAAATCACCTGCGAGGATGGCCTATTCCTATTCTAAATTTCCGTCAAGCCATTCCTACCTATCTGGTAATAGTACTTAAAAGGCGTTCCAAAGGAGTATTTTTTGGACATGTGGTCTGGAGGCAGGTCCAACTCATCACTACGTACCACCTGAACAATTTTAGAGTGCCCTTTGTTGTTCCCTGTGGGTTTCCATAAGTTTTTGCATCTTAGGCGTAGTGCTGTTTTTCTTGCTACCACCTTGATAAAGATGTCTATGGGTAGCATGGCAAGCAGACAATCAAGGGCTGGCAAACGCTGCCTCTACGACAACAATGATAGGTCCACAACCCTTCTGTGGCATTTCACGAAAAATCACATGCTCTTTTATTGGGTCATGGGCCAATGAAAAGCACCATAAACTTTGTTTTGATCTCCCCTTCTTAGATTAGCAAGCTTACTCTGTTTAGGCCTTCCAAAATGGTTGCCTCTGACCTCTTGAGACTAGACAGGCGAAGAATTAAATTAACAGTGGAACTGATAAAACTGGCAATGGCCGATTCAGGAAACATTTACAACGGATGGGCTTATTTAATGGTGAACCGATCTGTAGGCATTGTGATAGGTCAGAGGAGACAGCCTGCTATATGATTTTGATAAGCTCTCTGATTCTAGAAGGATAACTCTTGGCCATGTGGTAAGAGGTAGACATCTTCCCAAGGAGGAACTAATTGGAAGACTACAGGCTTTCATTGGATGACTGAATTTGTAGGGTCTATCATTAAAACAACTGAACTGCCTGGGTGCGCAATAATTCAACTTTTAGGATGAAGTGCTTTATGGTCTTGGCCTGCCCCTGATAGATAAGATAAGATAAGACTCAATGTTAAAAAAACATGTTAAATTACTCAATGGTAAAAATGAAAGAGTAATGCATCTAACGTATAATTTACCTAAAACTTTACTATAAATCAAAATACAGTTACCAGACTCAGTCTCGCTTTCGCTGGGAGTGCGGCCGGTGAGGTGTTTGCTGCGTCGCGCGCTAGCTGACCGAGTCTGTTTGCGTGTGGTGATGGATGGAGTGTTGTTAGGATCACTGTCGCTCACTACAGGCGGTGGCGCAGGCAAGCTTGGAGGAGGTTTCTTCCTCGGTCGCCCGACGCCCCGAGGTTTAGCCACCGGTGTGGGTTTGATTCTTGCTGTTCGTGTTGTGCGATTCGTCCTAGCTGAATCAGCACTCGACTCCGAGTCTGAACTGCTGCCTGTAAGTTCAATGTAGCCTAGGTATATAAAAAATAACCACTCAACCTGTACTCAAAATATAATTATTAATCTGCCCAGGGCTTACCATGTTTTTCCGGGGTGAAAAAGTAGTAATGTCATTTGTTAGTAGCATTTTAACAACTACGTTTCTTTGAATAATGTGTAACTGAGGCACATGGTTGGCACAGCCAAAGACCTACTAGGTTTTCAATAGCCACGAGATACAAAAATGTTAAACAGAATCACAACTTCTCGGTGCAATATTAGCTTTAGAATTTTGACAAGAACCATGCACCATGTTTATGGTAAACTATAGTAGGAAAATCAGGATAATGATACAGTAAAACCTCACTAATCAGCAAACGGTTAATTTGCACTTAGCTAAATTTGCATTATCAGTTGACAGCACAGACAGCTAGGATAGGGGTGTGCCGTTGTAAACTACGCAGCTAGCACACAAAAATGTTAGCACATACATCTATGTGCTAAACAATTTTGAACCCATCAAGCTCTTTTAGTCAAATGTGTTTAAATAATAAACACAAGGCCTAAAAAAAAAACCTGGAATAGGCATATGGTAAGTAAATTTGGAGTTATTGAAATTGAACTGGATTTTAGCGAATTTTCCATATAGGCTTTATTTTCTTACATGTAGCAGCAAACCTAAGTGCTCATTAAAATTAATAATACTTAAATAGGAAATAAATATGACAATTTTAAGGGAATAGTTTAGTGGAATTTCAGCCTGGTAGATGGAAATTTGCTTAGTCTGAAGGTTTGCTGCGGTGGGGGTATTTATTAATCCCAACTACTTGTAACTCCAAATAATCTTATTTATAAGGGTTTAGGCCTACTGTAGTTAGAGGCTTTAATTTTTAAAATTGGTGAATTGATTTCTTTGATAAAAAAAATTGATATAAGACCTTTCACTATTCAAGCGGATAATTTTTTTACTTAATCCAATTAGACTCACCCGAAGAATTAGAAGACGCAGATGAGTTATTCGAGGTGGCAGAGCTAGCTCTGGACTTATCCGAGGATGTACGAGAGGTTTCCTTTTTAGTCTTCGGCTTGGGTTTGGCAGCCTTGTTAACAGCAGCAGTAGCAGCAGTTTTCATTGCTGTCAACTTAGGCGGAGGAGGATTTGCTGCATTATCGTCACTTTCACTGCTGTTATCTGGACTGAATATGCTTTTAGTTTTTGGAACCAGCTTTTTTTGAGCTTCTGCTTTAACCGTTACATTTTTATTTGGTTCTTTGGCAACAGCTTTGTGAGTCTGTTTGGCTGCAGGCAAAGGCTTTTTGTTGGGAGGTTTAGGAGCCAATTTGGTTGGTTTGGTAATAGGCGTAACAGTTGCAGAAGCTTTAGGTTTGGTGGGAGGTTTCCGCTTAGATTTTCCATCGTCGGACTCTGAAGAATACACTTGAATTACTTTCTGAGCTGAATTTGATGCTCGTCGTTTAGGTTTCTCTTTGCTTTTAGCAGCCTCTGTTTCCACAGGTTCGTTCTTAGTTTTAACTACTCCTTCTGTCTTCTTCTTAATTTTCTTTTTCTCCGAGTCCGTTGATGCTCGACCACTCTTGGGGTTGCTTGTGGACGAGTTCTCTGTGTCCGATGAGGAAGACTCACTCCCTGATGACGATGAAGAGGAAGATGATGAAGAACTACTGGAGGACGAAGAATCTGACGCTGAAGATCCATCCTGGAACAAAGAATGAGCTTGGTTTAACAATTATTACATGTAAACAGGCCAGAACAGCCCTTAACAATAAATTTTGCAAAGAGTTTTCAATATTCTTGGAACAAACAGTAGCATAGAACAGTAGCAAAGTCCTATCCTAAACACTAAAGTAAGCTTGCCTGCAAATAGTATATGTCTAAATACTTTTTTTATCATCAGACCTGGTTTTCAAACATTCAAAACAAATAAACATTTAGGAAGTGAAGCTTCCTTAAGGGCAACGAATTTGGTTTTATCAGTAAATGCAATAACATTATTTTAGGTATTTCTTATTCCAGCTTAAGATAGACATGTAATTTTATTTAAGGGTTTTAACTTAAGTTGGGTGATCACTATGTTACGCTTGAAAAGGAAGCAATTGATCAAACAATGCAGTTTGCATGCATCAAACTTAATTAAGATTAAAGGCCTTAGTAAGTTATAATGGTACAATTCAAAAACTGAATTCTTATTTTACCAGGCTAAATCATTTTGGAAAAAAATGCCCACCATTCTACTTTGGAATGTAATCAGTACTGTTTTACATTCCAATGTAGATTCTAATGTTATCTTACATTCTAATGTTGTAGCCTGTCTTTATCAATATGGCTGTTGTTCTGTATCTTAATAATAGTGTAAGCCCAACCATATAGGCCTAAATAAAAGAGGCAAGTTGATCTACAGTCCCGAAATAAATTATTGGATGCAATGTTTATTCAATATAAATATTTTGATAGCTCAGACAATTTTTCTTCTTCTCTTTTTCTTGTCTTTTCTTTTTGTGTAGTCTATACCTTACTGAATATAAATATTGGTTTTCTTTTATGGGTCTTTTTCAAGATAGAAGAGGGCTGCATAGCACTCGACTTGTACAGTACAAGTTCATTACATTTGACTGAAAACGCATGTAAAATATCAAGCAACGACAAATTTAACGTAGTAAAATTTAGACAGGGTAAAAACATCTGATAAATACTCATGGATTATTACTTCTTGAATAATATAAGGAGTAATTAGTCCCTGGTAACATGTTTGTGAAAGAAAATAATTACTCAAACTTCAATCAATTGTTTTTAAGCCTCGAAAAGGTATACAAAAAACAAACAAAAAATTACTAGGCTAATAGTAGTAGACCTAGTGTTGTTTAATTGGGGAGCGAGCTGGCAAATGGTTAGTGCGCGGGATTTCAGTCCCTGAGGTCCCGGGTTCGATCCCCGCCAAGTCACCAATGGATTTGATCTAAGTGATAATGCCGCAACCCCTAGGTCTAGCCTGAAGTAATTTGAAAAACAATCCCAGGCTGGTGCCTACCGTCCTAGGACAAAAAAAGAAGTGTTGTTTAATAATATTGTGTTTGTCACAAAATAATGTAAACAGTATGAAACTTAGTTCTAGTCGAACGCCACTAATGCACTTTTATGAAACGAAACTACCTGAATTACACAACACCTGCGACCAGTAGGGCTAGGGCAGGCCGTAACTTACGGTGGTGAGAGACGACACAGTGTAGTGCGAGTGAGTGTTTTGTTAATGCTCAGCTCATTGACCTTTCTAGATATTGTTGCTGCAGAGACAGCGGCGACGCATTGTATCCTCTCTCCACTCTCCCACCGCTATTGTCAGCTGAGCGGTGAGTTCAACTCGACTCAGTCGACTGCCCTTACTCGTCTGCTCGCCATGCGCATGCGTCGAGATGTGTTTCTAATCTTTACCGATAGATCGCACCACATGCTAGCGGTGTTCTAGCGCTGCTAGTTAACAAAATACTGGCAACAGTTCCACTATGGCGATAGAATGTCTAGTAGGTATACATAGTCAATGCTTATTTATTTATTTGTATACGACACTCCTACCATTATTTTATTTTGTTTACCTACTATGTAGGTACAAGTCATTGTTACGTTATGATAAACTAATCCAAGCCATACAGTACTGAACTAAACTAACCTCGTGGCTGCAGCACAGTATGCAAGCTAGTCTTTTGAATAAGACCCAAGGCCCTATGGCTTAAAATGTCGATATTCAATAGCCTAAACTTACAATCGGTACGGAATTATATCATGTGAAAACTAACTCATTATTCACAATAACTTACTTAAGTTAAGGTGACACAGTACTCCCTATCCCGCCCATGTTAAAATGACAGTTTTTAGGACACATAACTTTTACAAATATTAACCTATCAACTTGAAATTTTTGTACTAAGTTTAATACATTATTACCAACAATAATATGAAGCAAAAAAAGTTTTTGAGCAAAATTAAATTGTTAGTATGATTTTAAAAATTTTAATAGGCCTAAATATTTTGTAATTTTTTAACATAAAATATTTTTTTATTTCAAAGGTTTTTGGTTGTCATGGAAACTGATTTGTATTATTGTTCCTTATCATATGAGGGACACACACACCAATTTTTATTGAAATTGGATTATAATTGAGGAAGAAAAGTGTACCTGACTAAAAACCACTTGACTTTCGGAAAACGACAAAAGTAACCCCTGTCACGGGTAGTAGTAGGACCCTTGGGCATGCTAAAGTAAAGTCGCTGTATAGCTTAAAATAATTTTTTCTTCTATAATATTTGGTATGTACGTGTTCAAGAAAGTGTGTTCTACAAAACTAAATAATAAAAAATGTTTAAAAAATTTAATATTTGACGGCGTACCCTCTGCATCTTGATTAACTTAGTAGTATTACCATGCTAATTAGTAGTTATTATGGACATGCTAAATTAGTTTTTTAAAGTAGCTGAAAATTTTAAAAATAATTTTTTTCTTCCTTAATTTTTATTATCTACGTGTTCAGAAAAGTCTGTTCTACAAATCTAAATAATAAAAAAAAATTTAAAAACAATTTTATATTTGAGTACTGTGTTACCTTAAGTAACTTTATATTCAAACCAAATGAAAATTTTGTCTGGTAATATTTTGCAAATTCTCTGTGGACAGTACCGTACCCAACAGAAGTAGTTTAACTTAAATTAGGCCTACTCTTCGTTTAGATAGTGCCAAACGCATCACGCTTTAGATAGTGTGCAATTTAGCCTCTTCGTTCTAGGCTTAAATCATGGCTAAGATTCAAACAGCACATTATGGTGATGAGGTGAGCGGTAGGTGTAGGCCTAGCCTATTACTTATAAGTTATGCCTATAAAAGAATGAGATAAATAGGCCTACATCACTAGTCATTTAAAGAAAGACAATCAATCACAGCTCTACACTTGTCCTTCCTAGGTTAAGTTGGAACAATTCATTTTAAAATATAAAAATTAAACGTAGGCAAGTGTTATAGAATTTAAGGCCACTGGCTTGTGGATTTCTATGATTATTAGAATGCTTTATCTATACCGTTAATTAATATCAAACCTGGTTACATTTGGT